AACTCTTTCCTTTGGCATACATAGCTAGTGTATGGCCCCAAGAGCATCATGGCTTGTGCTTAGATCTAAAATCCAAGTGGTTGGGAAGTTAGAGTATGTCAAGTATTGACCCATGTCTAAACACTTGAGCATTGCCCAACAAAACCTCAACTCTTCATTTTCTTTTCAGACACTGAGCAATTTCTAAGCCCTTGTTTTGCATGAAAAGTTAGTGCATGGGCTCAAGATAGTCGTGGCTTGTGCTCGGTAAAAAAACTAAGTGTGCAAAAAGTTATGGCATCGTATGTGTTTCTTTTTCCAGTACTTGAGCATTTTCCTTCGAGACCTCAACTTGGTTATCTTGCTATTGAGCATGCTCAAACATCTTTCTATTTTCATGCATGGTTAGTGTATGGGCTCAAGAGCATGCTGGCTTGTGCTCAGATGCAAAACCAGGTGTGTGGGAAGATATGGTATCTCAAGCGTTGTCGCATTTCCAAGTTCTTGAGTTGTACCCCACTAAACAACAACCTGTTTTTTCATTAAGGTGCTTTGTTTACCAAAACTCTTTCCTTTTGCATACATAGCTAGTGTATGGCCCAAGAGCACATGGCTTGTGCTTAGATCTAAAATCCAAGTGGTTGGGAAGTTAGAGTATGTCAAGTATTGACCCATGTCTAAACACTTGAGCATTGCCCAACAAAACCTCAACTCTTCATTTTTCTTTTCAGACACTGAGCAATTTCTAAGCCCTTTTTTGCATGAAAAGTTAGTGCATGGGCTCAAGATAGTCGTGGCTTGTGCTCGGTTAAAAAAACTAAGTGTGCAAAAGTTATGGCATCGTATGTGTTTCTTTTTCCAGTACTTGAGCATTTTCCTTCGAGACCTCAACTTGGTTATCTTGCTATGAGTGTTAGGATTAAGGACGGAGTCTAGGTGAACTTAGGAGCTAGAATTACTCAAAATATAAATCCGAAATTCTGGACAGAAAAGTCGTCTTCACAAGAAACGACGTCGACAAACAACTAGCCGTTGGAATGTCGCGAAACTTGGATATGTTGTAGCTCTTAATCTCAGCTACCGTTCCCAATTTGAATCATGTTGATTGATAAAGTATTCGCGACGCTATGGCTTTCGACGCACTAGGGGGTAAGCTGTAGGAGGAGAACTTAACTCAATCTCAAAGGTTCAATCAAAGTTCAAGAATCTCACAAGGAATTAGAAGGAGCAAGAGAAAGGTTGGGATAGAAGAGAGGGATGAGAGGGAAGGTCCCAAGAGAGTCCCCAACCAAGGAAACCCCATAAGCACAAAGATTCCCTCCCTATAGGAACCCCAACTTTGACATTTGTCCCTTCCCAACCAATCCATCCAAGTTGGCCACCCTTGCCAACCTAGCTTGGTTGTTCCCAACCAATTTGCAGCTGTTACAGTAGAGTGACAATTTCCCCAACCCCAAAGGTCCCAACTCCATATAAAGTCACCCCACAACTTCACTTTGTAACCGCCGCAATTGTAACGCAAGCTCATGAACTTTGAATCTTCATAGCTTTCGCGTTCTTGCTCCGATTGAAGCGATTCTTGTTGCGTCGGAAAGATCTTCTCAAGATCTATCATCACAAATACCTGCTCAGACAGAATAACACAAAACACATTCCCAAACTCCAGAACACACACACACAAATTCTTGCACACGTTCAAACCACACATGCAAGTTGAAAAACATGGGATGGGAGGCAGACAGAATGTGATAGCATATGATGACATCACACAACAATCTCCCCCTCTGGCTGCCAACCATCATCCACCATACCAACATCTCAAGCATGCATACTCAATGCACACTCATCCCAGCAAGCTTCATGCCCTTCCAATGATCCGCCTCCGCCAGACGCTTGGTGAAAATATCTGCTGCCTGCTGATGGGTCTTCACTATCTCCAGCCGCACCTCCTTATCAAGGAGTCTCCTCACCCAATGCCACTTAGGCCTTATGTGTTTTGTCAGCCCATGCAGACAAGCATTCTTGGCGAGCTTCACAGCGGACTCATTGTCACAAAACACAACTGTCGGCTTCTCCTGACCAACTCCCAACTCCTCCAACAAACGCCTTAGCCACACTACTTCCTTGGCCCCATGGTGTAAGGCCATGTACTCAGTCTCACATGAGGACAATCCCACCTCATTCTGCTTCTTGCTGCGCCAGCTCACAGCACCACCTCCTAGCAAGCACACATAACCCCCAATGCTGGTGCCATCCGCTTTCACTGAGTTGAAGCTAGCGTCAGTATAGCAACTCAAGAGCATCTCTCCACTCTTCACATCTGCAGCACCTCTCTGCAACCGCTGCCTCACTCCACTGTACTCCAATCCCACTGATGCCGTAGCACTCACATAGCGGACCAACCTCTTGGCCGCTTCCAGCTGCTCATGACTAGGGCGTGAGACCACACTAGCCAATCGTGATGTAGCAAATGCAATGTCAGGCCGTGTATGATTTGCAGCATAATTCAGCGACCCAACCATCGAATGAAACAGCTTCCTGTCACTATCACCCACTACCTCCTCATCAGCACATGGCTCCACAGTAAACCCTGAAGGTAGTGGTGTTGCTGGCTTTCCCCCATCTTGCAGCCCATACTTCTCAGCCAGCCCCTCACAGTACTTCCTCTGGTGCAACCTCAGCACACCCTTTTCCACATCTCTCTCCACGTGCATCCCCAAGTAGTACTTCACCTCACCCATCTTGGAGCACTTGAACTGCATCTCCAGCATCTGCTCTGCGCTGTCCAGCAAAGCAGTGGATGCAGAAAAGAGAAGGATATCATCCACATACACCAAGAGCATGAGGATTTCATCCTTCTCCTGCAGCAGGAACAGGCTGGGGTCACACTCACTCTTCTTGAAACCCCCAGCCAACAGCGCCTCCTCCAACTTGTGATACCATGCACGAGGCGCCTGCTTAAGGCCATAGATGGCCTTCTTCAGCCTGCAGACCCTGCCGCTCCCGTCATCCAGCCCCTCTGGCTGCTTCATGTACACCTCCTCCAGAATGATCCCATTCAGAAAGGCAGTCACAATGTCCATCTGCCGTATCTTCCATCCCAGGAGTGCAGCTATCGCCAACAGCACCCTCAGTGTTGTTCCTTTCCCCACAGGAGCAAACACCTCATCATAGTCCTTCCCCTTTGTCTGCTGAAACCCCCGTGCCACAAGCCTAGACTTGTAGCGGGTCAGCTCCCCTTCAGGTCCATACTTGTGCCTGTAGATCATCTTGGAAGTGATTGCCTTCTTTCCAGGAGGCAAGTCACACAGGTCCCATGTCTCGTTCTCAATTAGGGACCCGAACTCCTCATCCTCACTCGCCTTCCACTTCTCCCCATTTGGTCCATTCAAGGCCTCTCTCGAGTCTTGGGCTCAGGGATTGGTGCCCAGTAGCAGTGAGCGATCTCATCTTCCTCAATCTGCTCAACCACACTCCCAGCCTGCACCACATTTGGCTTGCCTCTTCCCCCATAGGTCAGCCTCACAGGAGGGCGCACATCCCTCCTAGGTCGCTCAGGCGGGTGTGGAACTCGAGGTGGAGACTCATGTTGCTGTTGCTGCTCCTACTTCAGCTGCTCCCCCTTCCTCAGTCACCCCAGACATCTCCTCCTCTGACACTGCAACCTCCACCTGTCTTGAAGGCTGCTGCACCTCATCTGCCTCCACAATGAGCGGTGTAGATGGAAGCTTCTGTTGCTGCTGCTTCCATTCCTTGTAGTACAGGGACTCAAGAAACTTCACATCCCTTGACACTGTCAACTTCTGGGTGGTCAAGTCCCATAGCAGCCACCCCTTGTGATCCTTTGCAATCCCCAAGTGCACACCCCATCTTCCAGAAGCCTCCAACTTCCCCCTTTTCTCCTTAGGCACATGAAACACCACCATGCACCCAAATGCCCTCAGCATGTTCACAGCTGGAGCACTCCCATACCACTTGACATATGGGATCCACTCCTTATCTCCAACTGTAGCCAGCACCCTGTTCTTCACAAGGGCGACCTGCCTCAGTGCAGACACCCAAAACGGATCAGGCAGCCCTGCACGCCCAAGGAGAGTGCGTGCCCCCTCCTGCAGGGTCCTGTTGAACCTCTCAGCCACGCCATTCTGCTGCGGGTTGTAGGGCACTGTCAGTTGATGCTGGATCCCCTTCCTCTTCAACTCCCCCTCAAAATCAGCTCCAATGAACTCCCCACCATTGTCACTACGGATCACCTTCACCTTGTGTCCGCATTCCCTCTGAGCTCTCGGCATCCACTCCTTAAGGACAGCCGCTGCCACCTCCCCCTTGCTCTTCAAAGGGTAAACCCACACTGCCCGAGTGTGGTCATCCACAATTGTCAAGAAATAGCGGCTGCCTGAGAGGGAAGGGGCTCTTGTGGGCCCCACCACATCCATGTGCACAAGTGCAAGTGGGGTCTTGGCTGGTCCTGTATGCCTGTTGAAGGGGAACTTGGAGAACTTGGTCTCCAAGCATGTAGGGCAGCTCCCAATCTCCTTCACTTCCCCTTTCACCTCCAAGCCCTTCAGGCTCCCATCCTTCACCAACTTCTGCAGCATAGGGAAGTTCACATGACACAGCCTCTCATGCCATGTCTCCCAATCGGCCTCTCCACTCCTTGATGAAGCCTTAGCCCATGCCGCACTCGCATCCACACCAGCAAGCACCTCACCATGTGTCTGCTGCTGCTGCACTTTCTTGACTGCTTCCAGGACCCCATCAGTTGGTGCAGTTGCATCTCCTCCTGCTGTTGCCTTTGCCACTGCTGCCGTTGCTGCTGTTGGAGTCTTCCCATTCCAAGGGATGATGGGCAGCTGCCACAGGTCCTTGATGCAGCTGGTCTCCTCTTCCAGACTCCACAGCACCTTCTTCCCAAGCTTAGCACGGCAGCTGGTTGGTCCAAAGGTCACTTCGGCCTTACTCTTCTGCAGCCGCCGCACAGAGAGAAGGTTAGCAGACAAGCCTTTAACCAGCAGAACATTCCCAAGCCCCACAAGCTCCCCATTAGCTCCCTTAACCTTGGCATTCCCAACACCAATCACGGGGAGCAAAGCACCTGACGCTGCTGCCACATACTTGATCTTCCCAGGGGGTTTTACCTCATCAAGCAAATCTGCCCGTGGGGTCATGTGACTGGTGCAACCCGAATCAATCACCCAGTGCGTGAGAGGGTGCATCACAACCTTTCCCACAAATCCCACATCACCCTCATGCCCATGCACATCCTCAACCATAAGAAACAAACCAGGATAGGCATTACCTTGTGCACCTTCACCTTGTGCACCTGAGCCTTGCACAGCGCCACCTTGTGCGCGTTCACCACTTGGCGGCTTCATGCCTGGAGGTGCCCATCCCTCCGGCCTGCTGAAGCACTTGAACCAAGGATGCCCGACCTTCTTGCAGTACCAGCAGGTGCCCTCCATTCTGGTACTCCCCCTGCCACTGGAGCTCCCATGCCCCTCATTATAGTCACCTCGGCCTCTACCTCTGCCAAAGCTTCTCCCACGGCCTCGGCCTCTCCAACCCCCTCTTCCTCTGCCGCGCCCTGCAGCTCCATACCCCTCAGCAGTCTTAGTGGCAGCACCGCCTCCCACATGGCGTCTGCGGAAGTCCTCCTGCAGAATCTGCTGCCTTAGCCACTCAGGTGTCCATTGATCTTGCTGAGAGTTGAGGGTGGGGATGAGGTTGTCCCAAGAGTTGTCCAACACCGAGATGATCTTGGTGCACTGCTGCAGCTGAGATACACTGCTGCCCGCTGCTGCCATCCTTGCATAGGTGTCCTTGATCTTGTCAAGGACCGGCTTCACATCGTCCCCTGGTCGCATGGAGATGGCAGCAAGTTCCTTCTCGAGCACGATCACCATCGGGAGAGTGTTGGGCTGAATCACATCGCGTAGTAGTTTCCACGCCCTTGGACCCGAATCATCCGCTTCCACAAGATCCTTGATGTGCTCGAACATCTCCTTGTTGACCGATTGAAGGATGAGGTCGAAAAGCACCGCGCTTTTCTCAATCCACCGTTCACGTGCTTCGCCTTCTTCCGGCATCTTCTCTTCCCCAACAGCAATCTTCAGTAGCTTGTAGCGTTTGAAGGCACTCCTCATCCGTCCGCTCCATTCCTCATAGTTGGAGCCATCCAAAGCTTCAACTTTTGATGGCGGCGGCTCACTTGTCTTCTCAGCTACAGCTCCTCTTCCATTAGCATCTCCTCCTCTCTCATTCATCTTCTCCTTGAGAAATGACGAATTTCAGCTCCCCTTTGCTGTCCACACTCAGCTCCCTCGATATTTTCACAAGTGTCGGCGTCCACGAAATTTCGGCAGAGTTTCCCCTTAGCGGAAGACACATCCAACCTTTAGAACACCACTTAGGCACACCCACAGGCCATGGTGGGTCTAGAAGGGTCTTCACACTTCTGTAGACTCCTCTCAATGTCCTTAATATCGCTCTGATACCACTTGTTAGGATTAAGGACGGAGTCTAGGTGAACTTAGGAGCTAGAATTACTCAAAATATAAATCCGAAATTCTGGACAGAAAAGTCGTCTTCACAAGAAACGACGTCGACAAACAACTAGCCGTTGGAATGTCGCGAAACTTGGATATGTTGTAGCTCTTAATCTCAGCTACCGTTCCCAATTTGAATCATGTTGATTGATAAAGTATTCGCGACGCTATGGCTTTCGACGCACTAGGGGGTAAGCTGTAGGAGGAGAACTTAACTCAATCTCAAAGGTTCAATCAAAGTTCAAGAATCTCACAAGGAATTAGAAGGAGCAAGAGAAAGGTTGGGATAGGAAGAGAGGGATGAGAGGGAAGGTCCCAAGAGAGTCCCCAACCAAGGAAACCCCATAAGCACAAAGATTCCCTCCCTATAGGAACCCCAACTTTGACATTTGTCCCTTCCCAACCAATCCATCCAAGTTGGCCACCCTTGCCAACCTAGCTTGGTTGTTCCCAACCAATTTGCAGCTGTTACAGTAGAGTGACAAATTTCCCAACCCCAAAGGTCCCAACTCCATATAAGTCACCCCACAACTTCACTTTGTAACCGCCGCAATTGTAACGCAAGCTCATGAACTTTGAATCTTCATAGCTTTCGCGTTCTTGCTCCGATTGAAGCGATTCTTGTTGCGTCGGAAAGATCTTCTCAAGATCTATCATCACAAATACCTGCTCAGACAGAATAACACAAAACACATTCCCAAACTCCAGAACACACCACACACAAATTCTTGCACATTCAAACCACACATGCAAGTTGAAAAAACATGGGATGGGAGGCAGACAGAATGTGATAGCATATGATGACATCACACAACATTGAGCATGCTTAAACATCTTTCGACTTTCATGCATGGTTAGTGTATGGGCTCAAGAGCATGCTGGCTTGTGCTCAGATGCAAAACCCAGGTGTGTGGGAAGATATGGTATCTCAAGCGTTGCGCATTTCCAAGTTCTTGAGTTGTACCCACTAAACAACCTGTTTTTTCATTAAGTGCTTTGTTTACCAAAACTCTTTCCTTTGCATACATAGCTAGTGTATGGCCCCAAGAGCATCATGGCTTGTGCTTAGATCTAAAATCCAAGTGGTTGGGAAGTTAGAGTATGTCAAGTATTGACCCATGTCTAAACACTTGAGCATTGCCCAACAAAACCTCAACTCTTCATTTTTTTTTCAGACACTGAGCAATTTCTAAGCCCTTGTTTTGCATGAAAAGTTAGTGCATGGGCTCAAGATAGTCGTGGCTTGTGCTCGGTTAAAAAAACTAAGTGTGCAAAAAGTTATGGCATCGTATGTGTTTCTTTTTCCAGTACTTGAGCATTTTCCTTCGAGACCTCAACTTGGTTATCTTGCTATTGAGCATGCTCAAACATCTTTCTTTTTCATGCATGGTTAGTGTATGGGCTCAAGAGCATGCTGGCTTGTGCTCAGATGCAAAACCCAGGTGTGTGGGAAGATATGGTATCTCAAGCGTTGTCGCATTTCCAAGTTCTTGAGTTGTACCCCACTAAACAACAACCTGTTTTTTCATTAAGGTGCTTTGTTTACCAAAACTCTTTCCTTTGCATACATAGCTAGTGTATGGCCCCAAGAGCATCATGGCTTGTGCTTAGATCTAAAATCCAAGTGGTTGGGAAGTTAGAGTATGTCAAGTATTGACCCATGTCTAAACACTTGAGCATTGCCCAACAAAACCTCAACTCTTCATTTTTTTTTCAGACACTGAGCAATTTCTAAGCCCTTGTTTTGCATGAAAAGTTAGTGCATGGGCTCAAGATAGTCGTGGCTTGTGCTCGGATAAAAAAACTAAGTGTGCAAAAAGTTATGGCATCGTATGTGTTTCTTTTTCCAGTACTTGAGCATTTTCCTTCGAGACCTCAACTTGGTTATCTTGCTATTGAGCATGCTCAAACATCTTTCTATTTTCATGCATGGTTAGTGTATGGGCTCAAGAGCATGCTGGCTTGTGCTCAGATGCAAAACCCAGGTGTGTGGGAAGTTATGGTATCTCAAGCGTTGTCGCATGTCCAAGTTCTTGAGTGTACCCCACTAAACAACAACCTGTTTTTTCATTAAGGTGCTTTGTTTACCAAAACTCTTTCCTTTTGCATACATAGCTAGTGTATGGCCCAAGAGCATCATGGCTTGTGCTTAGATCTAAAATCCAAGTGGTTGGGAAGTTAGAGTATGTCAAGTATTGACCCATGTCTAAACACTTGAGCATTGCCCAACAAAACCTCAACTCTTCATTTTTTTTTCAGACACTGAGCAATTTCTAAGCCCTTGTTTTGCATGAAAAGTTAGTGCATGGGCTCAAGATAGTCGTGGCTTGTGCTCGGTTAAAAAAACTAAGTGTGCAAAAAGTTATGGCATCGTATGTGTTTCTTTTTCCAGTACTTGAGCATTTTCCTTCGAGACCTCAACTTGGTTATCTTGCTATTGAGCATGCTCAAACATCTTTCTATTTTCATGCATGGTTAGTGTATGGGCTCAAGAGCATGCTGGCTTGTGCTCAGATGCAAAACCCAGGTGTGTGGGAAGATATGGTATCTCAAGCGTTGTCGCATTTCCAAGTTCTTGAGTGTACCCCACTAAACAACAACCTGTTTTTTCATTAAGGTGCTTTGTTTACCAAAACTCTTTCCTTTTGGCATACATAGCTAGTGTATGGCCCCAAGAGCATCATGGCTTGTGCTTAGATCTAAAATCCAAGTGGTTGGGAAGTTAGAGTATGTCAAGTATTGACCCATGTCTAAACACTTGAGCATTGCCCAACAAAACCTCAACTCTTCATTTTTTTTTCAGACACTGAGCAATTTCTAAGCCCTTGTTTTGCATGAAAATTAGTGCATGGGCTCAAGATAGTCGTGGCTTGTGCTCGGTTAAAAAAACTAAGTGTGCAAAAAGTTATGGCATCGTATGTGTTTCTTTTTCCAGTACTTGAGCATTTTCCTTCGAGACCTCAACTTGGTTATCTTGCTATTGAGCATGCTCAAACATCTTTCTATTTTCATGCATGGTTAGTGTATGGGCTCAAGAGCATGCTGGCTTGTGCTCAGATGCAAAACCCAGGTGTGTGGGAAGATATGGTATCTCAAGCGTTGTCGCATTTCCAAGTTCTTGAGTTGTACCCCACTAAACAACAACCTGTTTTTTCATTAAGGTGCTTTGTTTACCAAAACTCTTTCCTTTTGCATACATAGCTAGTGTATGGCCCCAAGAGCATCATGGCTTGTGCTTAGATCTAAAATCCAAGTGGTTGGGAAGTTAGAGTATGTCAAGTATTGACCCATGTCTAAACACTTGAGCATTGCCCAACAAAACCTCAACTCTTCATTTTTTTTTTCAGACACTGAGCAATTTCTAAGCCCTTGTTTTGCATGAAAAGTTAGTGCATGGGCTCAAGATAGTCGTGGCTTGTGCTCGGTTAAAAAAACTAAGTGTGCAAAAAGTTATGGCATCGTATGTGTTTCCTTTTCCAGTACTTGAGCATTTTCCTTCGAGACCTCAACTTGGTTATCTTGCTATTGAGCATGCTCAAACATCTTTCTATTTTCATGCATGGTTAGTGTATGGGCTCAAGAGCATGCTGGCTTGTGCTCAGATGCAAAACCCAGGTGTGTGGGAAGATATGGTATCTCAAGCGTTGTCGCATTTCCAAGTTCTTGAGTTGTACCCCACTAAACAACAACCTGTTTTTTCATTAAGGTGCTTTGTTTACCAAAACTCTTTCCTTTGGCATACATAGCTAGTGTATGGCCCCAAGAGCATCATGGCTTGTGCTTAGATCTAAAATCCAAGTGGTTGGGAAGTTAGAGTATGTCAAGTATTGACCCATGTCTAAACACTTGAGCATTGCCCAACAAAACCTCAACTCTTCATTTTTTTTTCAGACACTGAGCAATTTCTAAGCCCTTGTTTTGCATGAAAAGTTAGTGCATGGGCTCAAGATAGTCGTGGCTTGTGCTCGGTTAAAAAAACTAAGTGTGCAAAAAGTTATGGCATCGTATGTGTTTCTTTTTCCAGTACTTGAGCATTTTCCTTCGAGACCTCAACTTGGTTATCTTGCTATTGAGCATGCTCAAACATCTTTCTAT